ATCATAGAGTTTGATGGGACCTTCAAAGGCCATCCAGTTCGACCAGGCAGGGACACCATCAAAGCCCTCCCAACAGATGGCCATCCATCCAGCCTATGCTTAAACACCTCTAGAGAAGGACACTCCATTTAAATATGGCTCATCCTTGCTAATGCCAGGGTCAAGAGAAACGCCCAGGCCCCAGTCACAAAACAGAGAGAACATTAAATGGAGCCTCTTTCTCTGGGAGGCCATCTGTCGGGAGACCTTTGATTGTGTCTCCCCGCATGGCAGAATAGGGGTTGGGCTAGGCGAGCTGCGGGGAGGGAAAATGTGAGAAGAAGTAAACCTGAGTTGGTCGCAGGGTCGCAGCAGCCACCGCCTCTTCCTGTCCTCTCCTCCTCTCCCCAAATCCAGCTGAGCCTCTTCCGGGTTTAAGCCCCGCCCCCTTTGGGGAGGGAGGGGGCGAAGGGGGCGGGCTCTTTTGAGAGCGGCTGGCTCTGCTCACAAGCATCTTGCAAGTCACGTGGCCTCAGGGATGCAGCCCACCCGCCTCCCGTCGCCATGGCAACGGAGCAGGCCCGCTGTGGTCCAGAGCAGCATCCTTTGATGGGCAGGCCCTTTGAAGGACAGGCTGCCTCTCAAGGGCCCCATCATGCACTTCAATGGGGATGGGCCTGGGACCCAAACCAGTCTCTGCCGACTCAGGGTCTCTGTAAGAGAGCAGCCTCCATTATTATTATTATTATTATTATTATTATTATTATTAGGAGCCCCCCCTCCCCGTGGCAGAGCGGGTTAAACCACTGAGCTGCTGAACTTGCTGACCAAATGTGAGTAGAGCAATAGGTACCGCGGAGCAGTGTGAGCTCCTGCTGTTAGCCCCAGCTTCTGCCAACCTAGCAGTTTGCAAGCATGCAGATGTGAGTAGAGCAATAGGTACCGTGGAGCGGGGTGAGCTCCCACTGTTCGCCCCAGCTTCTGCCAACAGAAGCCAACCTAGCAGTTCGAAAACATGCAAATGTGAGTAAAGGACTCTAAGATCTTCAGGGGAGGCCCTGCTCTCGATCCCGCCTGCATCGCAAGCACAGCTGGCGGGGACGAGGGACACTCTGCTGTTAGCCCCAGCTTCTGCCAACCTAGCAGTTCGAAAACATGCAAATGTGAGTAGAGGAATAGGTACCACGGAGCGGGGTGAGCTCCCACTGTTAGCAGCTTCTATGCAGCTTCTGCCAACCTAGCACTTCGAAAACATGCAAATGTGAGTAGAGCAATAAATCAGCAGAGTCTGATTTAAACTGGGTTATATCAGTCCCCAATGCCAGATAATCTGGGATAAATAAAAAACCTGGGATCACATCCTGGGATATAGGGCATGTCTGGAAGGGCCCATAGTAGAACACATGCTGAACAAGGTGATGCTGCAGCTCAAAAGGCCAACATGATACTAAAGTACCAAACGTAGGCATTCACAGTTATAGGATGGCTTGGAAATAGCCCACGTGAAAAAGGTCTGGGTGTCTTAATATGCCACAAGCTGAACATTAGGTTAACAGCTAAAAAGGCCAATGCAACTCAGGCCAGGTCGTCCCTGGACAGATAGGGAGCCAGATGCCTAGCCTGACGCGGATGGAAAAATGCAACTCTGCTCGCAGTGGAAGCCTGGGCCTCCATCGTCAGCAGAGGGTCTAAAAAGACTCCCAGACTCTTTACCAAAGATGACAGGCATAATATCACACCATCCAGGGTAGGCAACCAGATCACTCCTCCGTCTGGGTGACCCAACCAAAGGATCTCCGTCTTCGCTGGATTCACCCTCAACCTGCTGGCACACAACCATCCAGTAATGGCCTCAAGGCATTGATGGAAATTATCGAGTATGGAGTCTAGCTTGCTGCTGACCTATGCAACAGTTGCATCTGTCAAGTAGGAAATTTAGGTACTGCTTTATGTGGAGAGACTAATTTACAATGCCATAAAAATCCTTCCAGCAGAGTGCAGAAGAATGAGGAAGTACTCCATCAAAGGACTCGGTGTCACAAGTGGACGGTGAAACGGCAGTTCCTCCTGTGGCCAGAATCGAGCATACACTCATGAACCCGGAAAAGCTGGAATTTTAATTGCCTCTGTGTCTGTCTATATATGTTGTATGTCTAATGACATTGAATGTTTGTCATGCATTGTAATCGCCCTGAGTCCCCTGCGGGGTTAGAAGGGCAGAATATAAATACTGTAAATAAATTAATTAAAATTTCTCCTAATATAAACAATCATGCAGAACTTTGGGCCACATCAAACTGTTGTAGTAGAGTCTGTTGGCAATGCTGCAACTGGTAGTAGAAGTGGTAGAGGAGGGAAACGAGGTGCCCAGGTGTTAGATGAGGAGCAGCAAAGGAAGAAAATAAGGAGATCCTTATGTCACCCACTGATGAAGAATCCTTTGAAGGTTTCTCCGAGAGTGAAATGAATGAGGAGGAGGAAGGAGATACAGATGGGAATAGAGGCACAAAGAGGATTACTCAAGAGCAGAAGTCAGACGAGGAGCGTCAGAGAAAGAAGATCCGGGACATGCTTACTACTCCCACAGAGGAAGAGGATTTCATGAGTTTTTCTGGGAATGATGGGTCTGGGAGTGATGGGGATGAAGAGGAACCACTGGATTGGACCAAGGTACAGGAGGTTCAGAATGTGTGTACTCAACCAATGTCTAGTGGCACTTTTGTGGGGTTTTCTGGTGACGGGGATTGGCAATCTGGTGATACTGTGGATTCATGGGTGATATCGAGCTCTTTTGTGGGGGTCTCCCAGCGGGGGAGATCCCTGAAGACCGCTAAAGGGGTCCCTTGACCTCGGTGAGCAGCCAGCGAAAGCCAATCCAAAGAGCGAAAAATATTAAAAATTAATCTCACCGGAGGCTGAAGAGGTTCAGTGACCGAAGCGTTTATTTCTGCGATTCAGCTGAAAAAGATGCGATTGCAGTGATCATTCACCTACAAGCATACATTTACAGAATTTCCAGGCATTTTTATAGCGTACAGACAAAGGAAACATTTTCAAAAATCCCGCCCGCCCTCTGCCGGCCGGCTTCGCCCTGACTGGCTGGCCGCGGAACAGCTGGGAGGAGGCTTGGCTGTGCGTCCCGCCTCCTGTCCAATCAGCAAGCTCCGCTGCCTCTAGAGGGCCAATCGGCGCCTTCCTAGCGCCTCCGAAGATGGTCCAATCAGCAGCCAGGAGGCGGGACGGAGTTTGACAGCTCAGGGGAAATGGTGTGCCCAGGGGGCAACCGCCAGCTGTTGTCCGAGCCTTTGTTCTCGTTGGAGGGGTGACAGACAAGGGAAACAATGAGTTTCCTGGTTTATGATTGGATTTGGGAGGAAGTATGAAAAAGGTGAAAAAGGAGCTTATTGATGGTATTTGGACCTCAGGGCCTCGTAAACAAGGGGGCCTTGTAAACAAGGGGGATCAACAAATACCTAAAAATGATATAATCAGCCTTTTTTATCCCTGAGTTTCTGTTGACCCATCCCTCATCTCACTGTCTGCTCTGAAAGTAAGCTTTGAGAAGGAATCAATCACGGGCCCATGCAAATGTAAATATGGACCGTTTTTGGGAGGACAAAGGATTTCCTCCCTGTTACAGTAATCCTTGGGTCACATTCTTTTTGGGGCAAAGGGTCAGAGAGGAGAGGCGGGAGGGGGAACCAAAGTATATTTCATTCCATTACATACATTTCATATATTCTACACATTTCATAAGGCAATCCCATCCCCATCCCCAGCGAAAGTTTATTAATAAAAATATTCAGTCACTTTATTATTGAAAGAAATTCATAGTCTCCTGGTGAAGGCACACGGAAGCGGAGGCTGCTTGTGAATCAGAGCAAGCCTGAGCTGAAGGTTTGCGTCCAAAAATGTGGCAGAAAACAGTCCAGGATGTGGAGCAGAAAGTCAATAGGAGAGGGCAAACAAGAGAGTCCAAGGAAGGTTTCCGGGTTGTGATCTGTGGAGCAAGGTCCTTTGGGAAACTACATTTCCCTGATCGGGGGCCGGGGCCCATGCCTGGCCGCCTTCCCGGGACTCCTGCGGGTGGCCGCAGTGGGTCCCTGGCTGTTGGATCCAAGCGGGAGTGAGCGCTGCCAAGAAGAAGCGGAAAGCCTGGCCAGTTTGACAATCAGCTGTTTCTCTGCAAGATAAAATACTTAAAACAAAACTAATTTTTCCCCGGGTGAAGGAGCCCAAAACGAAAAAAGGGAAATGGCAGTTAGACTTAGAATTAGTTGTAGAAAAATATAAAATTGGAATGGCGGCGATCCGCCATTTTAAGTATTTTCGTGGATAAGGGGGTCTGAAATGGCAGTTTCCGTATCCGCGGTCTAGGCGAACGCAGATTCGGGGTCCGGGGGGCGCCCGGAGGCGCCTCCCGCGGGCTCACGGCTCCCCGGAGCCCAAAAAAAGGTCTGTTGCAATGTTACTTTGTTTGAGTCAAGAAAGGATACAAAAGTAGCATGCGGAAAGATAAAAAGTTGCAAGTTTCAAGTACTTTTATTAGGGAAAGGATACAAAGTAAAGGGAAGGGGAAGGCAAGGTGAAACTGCAAGCATTCCTGGTTTTGAGCTAGCTGCTGGGGCGCATTTCATCTGTTGGTCCCAAAAGCTTGGTCCAGGAACTGCGGAACTCTCCGCTGCAGCTCACACCAATGTGAAGGCGGGGCTCCCCGCTGCGCTCGGGCTCATGGGGAGACCTAAGTCTTGACAAGAAGTGAAAGAGTTGGAGGGATGGGCGTTGGCGTTCAGCTGTAGAGGCTAAGCCAGCTGATAGCGATGAGGACGGGGTGGAGGGCAGCTCATCATCGGATGATGAGCTGTAAGATAAATAAAGGCACTGGAATTATAGAACTTTGCAGTAGGCAAAGTGTTGGTTTCGTGACTTGGGTCTTGTCGCTGCTGCTTTCCTGTTGGGCTTGGGTCCTGGATCTGCAGGTTGCTGTTTGCTTCGTTTGCTTGGATTCTCGTAAGTGCGGATTTCCCCTCTTCTTGACTTTGGACTGTTTTGACGACACGGCCTTGTGGAGTTTGGAACTTTCAACTGAGATTTCTTCGACTTTGGACTGCTACTGGACGACGGCTTATCTTCACAGCTCTTTGTTTGCTTGTTTTCTTTGAACTGTGAGATTTTGGTGTGTTTTGCACAAACTCTTGTTTAATCCGGTTTTTTTTTTTGCCAGTTTAATCTGGTTTATTTTCTGAGTTCGTTTTTCAAGCTGTAAATTGCTACAAACTTTGAGTTTTGACCAGAGGCACTGAAGCAAGTGTCTCTGGGTCCTATTTACTTTGCTTTAATAAACTATTGTTTGGACTATACTACTGTGTCTGGCTCTTTAAGGCATCTGGATTCCGACACCAAACACTTCACCTGAGAGCCAGCAAAATGTCCTTTCTTTCCTTATCAAAAAGGATGGTGAAATCACGTATTGTCATAGATTTTGGAACCAAGGGAGAGAAGAGGAAGGAAGAGAAAGAGCAAGAAAAAGCAAGCAGTGCACTGATGTCAGATTTCCAAATGAAAGAGGCAATGATGATGATGATGATGCTATGTACTGCAGCTTTCATGTGTTCATACCATTACCTGCATAGGGGGTGCATTCACCCGAACCTCTATGTTTCTGGTCCTGTTTGTGTGCTGCGTCCTCTTTGCCTCTGTGCTTCCTCCTTCGTGGCTTCCTTTTGGTGGCAAAACCACACTTTTGGAATGTATTAAAAAGTAAACAAATCTCTTGCTTCCCCTTGAAGCCTATCTGGGTGTGGGTACTGCCACCCCTTTCTCTGACACAGAGATGGTTCGGTCCCAGCATTGAGGGGTTTTGCAGCATCCTCAAGGTGCTGGACTATTGAACTAAGCCTAGGAAAGGTGAGCAGAGCCATTTGGGGGAGACAGCGAGGCATCAATTTGGTGGCAGAGGAGGAGAACCAAGCAGGCAAAGGCTGCCAGAACCCTCCCTTTTCCTCGCTCTACAATTTCCCAGTATTGATAGGGGATAGAGAAGAGTCGCCCACCTTATCCAGAGCTTCAAAGGGCTGAAGAATACCATTTTGATCTCCTTCTTTTTGTCCAGGTAATAGCAACAAAAGGGTTTGTCTTGGAGGTTGGGGCTCAGTCCAGGTTGGAGGCTTATATGCATGAGATCAATGGTAGGTGAAGACTCTCTAGGGAAAGTGGCTTTTAAAAAAAAAGGGAAACATAAGGATCTGGGTTGTATGGCTACGCTATATCATTTTGTATCTGTTCTAACAGAGACAAAGACAATATATGCCTTGGCTGGGTGGTTTGGGTGGGGTGGGATGGAGAGAAGCATTTCTGTTTTCCTCTCCCTGTCTCTCATTTGTTCCCTCCCCATCACCTCCTACAGTTTAGGAATAGTATTACTGCATGAGTCTCTATTTCTGTGTGAAGGCAGCCTTCAGAATGGCCACCAGAATAGGCTCCTTTCTCAATGGACGCAATAGGAGATGCATATAGAATCCTAGACTTGGAAGAGACCCAAGGGCCATCCAGTCCAACCCTGTTCCTTGCAGGAAAAACACATTCAAAGCCCTCCCAACAGATGGCCATCCAGCCTCGGAATCATAGAACCCTAGTGTTGGAAGAGACCCCAGGGCCATCCAGTCCAATCCTGTTTCTTGCAGGAAAAGCACATTCAAAGCCCTCCCAACAGATGGCCATCCAGCCTCAGAGTCATAGAACCCTAGTGTTGGAAGAGACCCCAGGGTCATCCAGTTCAACCCTGTTCCATACAGGAAAAACACAATCCAAGCCCTCCCGATAGATGTCAGACAGAAGAGAGAATGGGGTTGGACTGAATCGTAGAATCATAAGAGTTGGGAAATGCCACTCTGGGTGGTCATCTGACAGGAGAGCTTTGATTGTGTCTTTCTGCCTGGCTGAATGGGGTTGGACTGGATGGCCCTTCCAAATCTAGGATGATGTCATTCAAGCGAAGCCTCTGTCATGCAGGAAGACACACTCAAAGCCCTCCCGACAGATTGCCATCCAGTCTCTACTTAAACACCCTCCAAAGTTGGAGACCCCACTGGACTGCAAGGCAACAACATATTCCACCACTAAACAGCACTTACCGTAAGGAAGATCTTCCTAATGTTTAGGTGAAATCTGCTTCCTTGCAAATTGAATCCATTGCTCTGTTGCCCCTTCTAGAATGTGAGCTCCTTTCAAATATTTATTTATTATTTATTATTATTTATTATTTACTTTACTTGTATACTGCTCTTCTCAGCCATTAGGCGACTCAGAGCAGTTAACAACCAGTATCAGCAATACAGTACAAGCAAATATTCTATTTGTTTACCTCAAAAGGGACTCAAGGCAATGGGTCAAACCCTTGTGCCAACAGGTTGAAGGTTCAAATCCAGAGTAAGCGCGAATGAGCTCCCTCTGTCAGCTCCAGCTCCCCATGCAGGGACATGAGAGAAGCCTCCCACAAGGATGTTAAAACATCAAAACACCTGGGCGTCCCCTGGGCAACATCCTTGCAGACAGCCAATTCTCTCACACCAGAAGCGACTAGCGGTTTCTCAAGTTGCTCCTGACACAGAAAAAAAAAAACCTATTCACTGCCTTTGGACAACAAACAGAATGCACTTAAATTAGAAATTAAAATTAAATACACATTAAAACATGTAAAACATTGAATTCAGTATTAAAATCATATTATCCTCAATAATAATATGGAGATATTTAAACATGGCGGTTATGCCCCCTCTCAGCCTTGATCTCAATACTAAATATACCAAGCTCCTTAAGCCATTCCTCATAGGAAGAAAATGAGTGGCCATGGGAAGAAAAGGAATCGCTCTAATAATTGAGTTCTAAAGGTTCGTTTTCCTGTGACAGATTATCTTTCAAAGGGTATGTTTTCTAAAAAAAAATCTCTGTGGGAGGAATGTGCATTTGTTTACATTTAACATTGGAAAATGGCAGTGGTAGGTCGTTGCTATGGTTAGCATATGAATAAGGGTAGGCGGCTTCCTTCATTATACTAGCAATATGATTATATATTAATTGATTGCAAATATACAAGAAGGAGCCCCCAGTGGTGCAGCGGATTAAAGCGCTAAGCTGCTGAACTTGCAGACCAAAAGGTCACAGGTTTGAATCTGGGGAGTGGGGTGAGCTCCTGCTGTTAGCCCCAGCTTCTGCTAACCTAGTAGTTCAAAAGCATGCAAATCTGAGTAGAAAAAGGAAGAACAAGGAGGCGATAGGGCCTCTTTGAGGAGAAGATGGGGCAATGCTGACAGGGGATAGGGAAAAGGCAGAACTACTTAATGTCTTCTTTGCCTCAGTCTTCTCACAAAAAGAAAGTCATCCTCAACTTCAGCAAGATGGAGTGGATGAGGGATTAGAGGACATCCAACCCCAAATTGGGAAACAAGTCATCCAGGAATACCTGGCCGCTCTAAATGAGTTCAAGTCCCCAGGGCCAGATCAACTACACCCAAGAGTATTGAAGGAACTAGCAGAAGTCATTTCGGAACCATTGGCAATCATCTTTGAGAGTTCTTGGAGAACGGGAGAAGTTCCAGCAGACTGGAGGAGGGCCAATGTGGTCCCAATCTTCAAGAAGGGAAAAAAGGATGACCCAAAACAATTACCCTGGTCAGCCTCACGTCGATACCAGGCAAGATTCTGGAAAAGATTGTTAAGGAAGTGGTCTGCAAACACTTAGAAACAAATGCGGTCATCGCTAATAGTCAACATGGATTTATCAAAAACAAGTCATGCCAGACTAATCTGATCTCTTTTTCGATAGAGTTACAAGCTGGGTAGATGCGGGGAATGCCGTGGATGTAGCGTACCTGGATTTCAGAAAGGCCTTCGACAAGGTTCCCCATGACCTTCTGGCAAGGAAACTAGTCCAATGTGGGCTAGGCAAAACTACGGTGAGGTGGATCTGTAATTGGTTAAATGGACGAACCCAGAGGGTGCTCACCAATGCTTCCTCTTCATCTGGAAAGAAGTGACGAGTGGAGTGCCGCAGGGTTCCGTCCTGGGCCCGGTCCTGTTCAACATCTTTATTAATGACTTAGATGAAGGGTTAGAAGGCATGATCATCAAGTTTGCAGACGACACCAAATTGGGAGGGATAGCCAATACTCCAGAGGACAGGAGCAGGATTCAAAAAGATCTTGACAGATTAGAGAGATGGGCCAAAACTAACAAAATGAAGTTCAACAGTGACAAATGCAAGATACTCCACTTAGGCAGAAAAAATGAAATGCAAAGATACAGAATGGGGGACAATGCCTGGCTTGAGAGCAGTACGTGTGAAAAAGAACTTGGAATCCTCGTGGACAGCACGTTAAACATGAGCCAACAATGTGATGTGGCAGCAAAAAAGCCAATGGGATTTCTTGTCCTGCATCAAGAGGAGCATAGTGTCTAGATCTAGGGAAGTAATGCTACCCCTCTATTCCGCTTTGGTTAGACCACACCTGGAATATTGTGTCCAATTCTGGGCACCACAATTGAAGATAAATGTTGACAAGCTGGAATGTGTCCAGAGGAGGGCGACTAAAATGATCAAGGGTCTGGAGAACAAGCCCTATGAGGAGCGGCTTAAGGAGCTAGGCATGTTTACCCTGAAGAAGAGAAGACTGAGAGGAGATATGATAGCCATGTATAAATATGTGAGAGGAAGTCACAGGGAGGAGGGAGCAAGCTTGTTTTCTGCTTCCCTGGAGACTAGGACGCGGAACAATGGCTTCAAACTAGAAGAGAGGAGATTCCATCTGAACATTAGGAAGAACTTCCTGACTGTGAGAGGTTCAGCAGTGGAACTCTCTGCCCCAGAGTGTGGTGGAGGCTCCTTCTTTGGAAGAGGCTGGATGGCCATCTGTCAGGGGTGATTTGAATGCAATATTCCTGCTTCTTGGCAGAATGGGGTTGGACTGGATTGCCCATGAGGTCTCTTCCAACTCTATGATTCTATTATTCAATGATTCTGGTAGGAAGGTAACGGCAATCCATGCAGTCATGCTGTCCACATGACCTTGGAGGTATTTATGGACAACACCGGCTCTTTGACTTTTTCAAATGGACTCAGAGGGTGGTTTTTGCTATCTTTGCCACTGGAGAGATCCAAGGGGAGAAAATTGGCTCCTGGATGTGCTTGACCTTCTATAGATGTATAACCTTTGAGATCGTTTACAAAGCCAGGGATGATGCAGCACACGATCATCAATACTAGTGCTGTAGTGGCTGTACGATAAATTCTGAAATAATCAATTCAGTCCATCATTCTGTTTACTATAACCAAATGCCAAAAAGAGGCTCTTCCTTTAGATCAGTGTTTCTCAACCTGGGGTCTGGAGGAAGGGTGTATCAGAAGGGTCAGCAAAGACCATCAGAAAACACAGTATTTTCTGTTGGTCATGGGGTTCTGTGTGGGAAGTTTGGTCCAACTCTGTAGTTGATAGGGTTAAGAACGCTCTTTGATTGTAAGCAAACTATAAATCCCAGCAACGACAACTCCCAAATGTCAAGTCTATTTCCCCCAAACTCCACCAGTGTTCACATTTCGACATATTGGTATTCATGCCAAGTTTGGTCTAGATCCATCATTCTTTGTGTCCACAGTGCTCTCTGGATGTAGGTGAACTACAACTCTCAAACAAGGTCAATGCCCAGCAAACCCTTCCAGTATTTTCTGTTGGTGATGGGAGTTCTGTGTGCCAAGTTCGGTTCAAAGTCAAGACGTGGCTTTTTGAACAAGCGTTTGCAAATGAAGCATAACTGACATAGGAGAATGGAACGACTAGACAATGAGTCCGGACAATGTTTTTAACAAGGATACACTATGAATTTATATTGTATTGATTTGTTTAGTTTTTATTATATGTTACGTTTTTATTGTATTTAAGACATTGTAAGCATTGAATTTTGCCGCCTTGAGTGCACCTGCGGGCAAATACAGTAAATAAATAAACAAACAAACAAATAAATAATTCCATCGCTGATGGAGTTCAGAATGCTTTTTGATGATAGGTGAATTATAAATCACTACTCCCAACTACTTTCAAATGACAAATAATAATAATAATAATAATAATAATAATAATAATAATAATAATAATAAAATTTATTTATACCCTGCCACCATCTCCCCAAGGGAATCGGAGCGGCTTACATGAGGCCAAGCCCAACAGTACATCAATAAACAAAAGCAATAAACAAAACAGCATATACAGTACAATCTGTGATTTATATATAAATCACATATAAACAATAACCAAAAAACAGTAACACACAAGGATTAAAAACCTATGGCCGGGCCAAATGTAATAGTTTACAAATTAAAAAAATAAACGCTGGGCATGAGGAGGGTATGATATAACTTATATAAGGTTTTCAAAGAGAGATGAGGGAATGCAGTCAATCCTAATCCGGTAGTAAAGTGCATTCTGAGGACAAATTGCTGAGAGTTTTCCTTATTCAGGGAAGGCAGACTGGAACAACCATGTTTTCAGGCTCCTCCTAAAGGCTGCCAATGTGGGGTCTTGCCTGATGTCCTTGGGAAGTGAGTTCCACCACCGAGAAGGCCCTCTCCCTCATCCCCACCAATTGCGCCTGCGAAGGAGGTGGAAGCACGAGCAGGGCCTCTCCAGATGATTGAAGAGCAATGCGGTCATGCAGGTAGGTGGGTCCCAAACCGTTCAGGGCTTTGTAGGTAAGAAACTGCACCTTGAATTGGGACCGGAAAATGAACGGCAGCCAGTGGGTGAAACATCAGGAGAGAATGCTTCTGAAACATGGCCAGACAGCCCAGAAAATGCACAGCAACCCATTATTATGTTTATTTATACCCCACAAAGGAGACTCAAAGTGGCTTGCATCAAAAGCATTTCAATACAATACTAATTGGGTTGTTGTGAGTTTTTCCAGGCTTTATGGCCATGTTCCAGAAGCATTCTCTCCAGACATTTGGCCTGCATCTAGGGCAGGCATCCTCAAATAGTAATTCTTTCTTGCTTTCATGTCTTCCTTCCCAGAATTACCATGAAAGGGGAGACACCAGTGAACAGCACCATGAGTATTGGCCAAGCCCGCAAGATGGTGGAGCAGCTCAAGATTGAAGCCAGCATGTGCAGGATAAAGGTAAGAAATGGGGTT